CCCGCCCCGCTGCCGGGGTCCCGGCCCCCCAACGTGTTCCCCGCTGCACCTGCCCAAGTCCTTTCGCCCGCTCCCTCGCGTCCCGTTCGGGCACCGAAAGCGTCCCAGCGTCACATCTGTCGCTCCACAAGTGCCCCCCCGTTCGCTCATCGACCCTTTTGTCCGTCCTTACGTTTTCTACGCTGCCCTAATATCTTCCCTTTCCGGCCCAGAAATTTCTCCCATGCAACACCGCGCAGTGAGGGTCCCTCCGTGCCCGCTGACGGAGGCGGTCACCTTCCCGAGTTCCGTGGGGCTGGCATTGGGGTAGCATACATGTGACACTAAAGGTTGTTAACTGCAGGTGGGAGTATTGAAGAAGTATCATCCTTTCCACTCCTCAAAGTCGTCGCTCATCTGAGTCTCTCAGGAATCACAGCCAGGCTCGCGAAACCGCGAGATCCAGAACCGAGACCTCTTTATGTCAGCAGGACGCTCCGCTCCAGCACCCTATTGCCCCTTGCTGTTTCTCTCATAATTAAGCAACATACCAAGAGAGCTCCGCTGTATAATTGCTTTATTTTCTGCTTATTAGTTCTTTACCAACACTACAGCCATATTGAGAACACAAAATTCCTGTTTACTTTAGTCAGGGAGATCACAGTCTACAAACTCATTCACTTATCAGACACGATTAACGCCATTCAAAACTTACTCCATAAATTCACATGAACACAAATTGATGCACTTAAAAACTCCAGATTAGTTTTTAAATCATAGGATTTCTTACAGATTGCCACTTTATCCTGCAGGCTACGTTTACTGCCTGATAGCCACTGCTTCGTGGTGAGGTTCAGCTACAGCCTATAAAGGACGTGTTGAAAGTGAAACCTTTATCTTTTGTTCAGTAGCGACGGCCGTTTATTTTTGACGTCTCCGCCACATGTTTCAGTAACTTTTTTCTCCCCCTGGCCCCCCCCCCAAAAAGACATTAAAAAAAAAATAATCCAGAAGCATAACCAGTTGCCTTTCACCTACAAAAACAGCGTAACAAAGTTACTAAGGAAATACAAAATGGTGAATCCAACTTAACGCAAAGTCTAGCGAAGAAGTCTGCCCCAGCACTTGAAACACAGTAAATCAACTTAGACGAAAAATGAAGTTATTGAAGTTTCCATGTTGACCGAGAATAGATTTAAGAAAGTTCAAGAACCATTAATAGAGCTTCAAGTTTTCCAGTTTAGGCATTTACTTTGTGCTTGGCTATTTTATTTCTGCTCCAGAAGAAAACAGTAACTGTATTCTTGTGGTTTTAGTCTTTATACCACCACACTACTTGTGAAGTTACATCAACAGGAAAAAAAAAAAAACAAGCTAGAAAATAGAGCAATGATATTCCAATGGCAAAGAGCCTTGAGTGAAAAAAAAAATAAATCCTCTCACCTCCTCTTCTTCAGAGCTGAGATTTAAGAGTTACCCTACGTTAAGGTTTTGCAGACTCGCTCTAACTGACCAAGGCTTCGAGTCGATCACTGCTCTATCCTCTAGCATTAAGAACCCCTCCAGTCCCACGGGCGACCCACATCGATTTCAGTCTTTTGGAACCATATTCTAAAGGAACTGTTAAGTGGTCCAAAGCATTCGGTTTCAGAAGCGAATTCAGCTTTTTTTTAATCTTCCCATACATCTTTGGTAAGAGCTCCATGTACAAGGTACTCGGCATGCAGAGTCAACACTGCAGGAATGTAGTGTAATGCCCCCAAAATCAGGTAAAACTCATACCCTTGGAAAAAAGGAAAAAAAAAAAAAAAAGGAAAAAAAAAAGCCATTTTCTTCTGGTTTTGTAGCATACATTCCTAGAATTCCCCACTCGAGTTTAACTCCTTGAGGAAATCTGAAGTTAATCCTTAAGGCTGAATAAGAACCAGCTGCTTGAATGTATTTTGCACCCAGCATTAACACTCGATTGAGTTTTTACACCAATGCTCGCTCTGGGTGGGGTTTTTTTGCCAGTCACATCCGCAAACTGCGATACGGCAAATGAGCTGCTTGCCCTTTAAGAACTAATTATGGAAGTTTACATTCATAGTCGTAGACTCTCTCTCTCTCTCTCTCTCTCTCTCTCCTCCCTGCTCTCATTAGTAGTTACTCAATGGGCTTCAGACATCCAACATCATTCCCTTCCTCCAGGACTACAGCAACAACCGGCTCCCGGGACAGACGGCCAAGACCTGCGACCGCTCGCACGAGTTCAGTCGAGTCTTGGAAAAACTAAACCCAGTGATTTCCTCAAAATGGCTCGTTCAGATGTCAGCACTACCGAGCCCAACTACAGCTTCGCGCTGAACTTGCCCCTTCAGAAGTCTATAAATTGGGAAAGAAAAAAAAAACAACAACATTTCTTTCTCCACGATGTGCCCGTCAGAGATTTAAGTGTCTTCCACTGTCTTGAAACGAAAGCAATTTGCCTCAGTCACAAGACAGGCAAGCCAGCGCTGGATTTTTGCCTCAACCTCTGCAATTTAAAGTAAAACTTGTTGCAATGCTTCCACGTTATCGCTGCGCTGCCTGGAAGGAACCTCTCTTGCATTGAATCGGAGACTGACCCGAGCAGTCAAAACTGCAGCTAAACACCGTCTAAGTCTGCAATGCAAGACGAAAACCGAACAGCATCTACCCTGGAACTATTACATCATTCATGTCATATTTGCTATATGGTTGCTATGTAGTATGGGGAACTTATTTGCATCCCTTCTCATGCATGATGTATGGTTCAGAACTTCACAGCTGATGTTTCAAAGCAGCTCTTGCACTACCTAGCTAGCGTGACGCCTGATGTGCACTTTGAACGCGTCACAATGGTGTCCTCGCTATCTGCCGCTGCAGGCAGGAATTCGTTTCGTTATTAGTCTGAGATATGAAGACAGACTGAGAGTCACTATTGAGTTACAGATTAACAGAACTTTAAAAAAAGTCCTTAATATAAAAAGACAGACTGCAGTTTGATTTTAAGCAATAGTTTTCAGTTTACTAGATGAAGTAGACCTATCAACATATTCTGCATGAATGCAAAAAAGTAGCAATCTACAGCAAGTGATAGAAGAAGAAGAAAAAAATTATAATCAAAAAAGTAGAACCAGAAAGCATACACTGAAAATGGTACCCCTCCCCCAACCATCCCCCAAAATAATCAAACCATCTTAAGGGCTATCAAGAGAGAAAAAAAACAAAAAACAAAAAACCCAACAAAAAAAAAAGTTACTTAGCAAGTCTACAATGTGTCTTTCCCCTGTTTGCTGGAAGTCTGCCATAGCATCTAGTGCTTGTGTTCGTGTCACATTCGGAGATTAGAGCATCCTAACGCCAAGCAAGAAGAGTTAAAACAGGAATCCAGTCAGGTGTGCAGAAGGAAAGGGTGGTAACTGGAGAAAGGTGATCATAATCCTATGGATGCTTTTGTTTTACTTTTCAGTAGAGAATCATTCTTCCGGAAAGCCATGTGGGTTATTTTTTTTTTTCTTTAATTCTTTGTAGACTAAATAGTTATTCTCTCATTAGGATTTATAATTGGACGTTAACCATGTCAGCCCTTCATAGAGTCCATCCCCTGTAGTAGCACAGGAGGGCTGCACGTACCAATTCCTATCCCTGATCCGGGTCAGGCCCAGTTTCTCCTGGATTTCATGGGGTTTCATGGCATCAGGCAGGTCCTGCTTGTTGGCGAAGATGAGGATGATGGCGTCCCGCATCTCCCTGTCGTTGATAATGCGGTGGAGCTCCTGGCGGGCCTCGTCGATGCGGTCGCGATCGGCGCAGTCCACCACAAAGATCAACCCTTGCGTGCCCGTGTAGTAGTGCCTCCAGAGGGGACGGATCTTGTCCTGGCCCCCGACATCCCACACGTTGAACTTGACGTTTTTGTAAGTAACCGTCTCCACGTTGAAGCCCACGGTGGGGATGGTGGTGACGGACTGGCCCAGCTTCAGTTTGTACAGGATGGTGGTTTTACCGGCCGCGTCCAGACCCAGCATCAGGATCCGCATCTCCTTGTTGCCGAAGATCTTGGACAGCACCTTGCCCATCTCGGCGGCATCCAAGGGGCCCGGCGCCTCCGGGGTGGGGTGGGGGGGGAGAGCGGAGGGCGAGCACCGACCCACCCGAACAGCC